AGGAGGGGACGGGAGGGGAGGGGGCAGAGCTGGCAGCCAGCCAGCTACCATCAGAATTAGCTCATTGTTCAATATAACCAGCACTGGCAACTAAAACCCAGCCTGAGAGAGAGGGAGAGAGAGAGAGAGACTTTCCCCCAGCCACCCCCACCCCTTTTTTCTTTTTTCTCCAAGGCTGCACTTTGGAAGAGGTGCAGTCATTCTTCCCCACACCCCCTACCCTCTCTCCACTCCCCCAACTATAAATTCCCTTCTGTAGCATGCTGCCCTTTTTTAATCCACATTTGTGTTTCAGATCATGTAGAAAGGACAGAAAGTGAGCAGGGAGCGGGGGCTTTTGTCTGTAAGTATATGCAATTCCAATCCACAGAATTTCTTTTTTTTTTTTTGTTTTAATTAATCCTCTCTCTCTCTCTGTGTCTCTCTCTCTCTCTTTGTTTCTTTTCATTTCCTTTTGTCCTTAGCTGGACTTTGCTGCAGCTTGCCTTTCCCCCTCTCGGTGCACATTTCCAAACAGGCTTTCTTAAAGAAGATGAGAAAACGTGCAGTATATGTATTTAACTATTTGTCTTTATGCTTTAAGGCTGGATTTCTAGGCTGGGGATTTTTCTGCACACATGCAAGGGGAGATGAGAAGTGATTTTCTAAAACTGTTTCCTTTTTTTTTTTGCTTTTGCACTCCACAAACACCAATATGTGTTTTGAACCTAATGCACTTAGCTTTTTTAGCATGCATGCAGGGCTCTAGGATTGGTTTTTGTCTCTTTTCTTCTCCCTTGTAAAACGAATCTCCCTCTTCTCCGCCCTGACACTGGATTCCTCTCAGGCTGCTGGGGTTTATTTTTAGAAAGCAGTCATTCTTGCAACAGCCTTCTGCATTTTTGCATGTGCAGCAGTTAAATTTTGGGTGGTTCTTTTGAGGAAAAAAAAACCCAAACAACACAAAACCAAATATATTTTGGTGGACATTCAGTGATGTGCTTTCTTTCAAACGTTTATGTGTACATTTATAGATATGAGTTTGCAGTTTTAAATCCAATATGTGTGTGTGTGTGTGTGTAAACATATGACTCATACCTAATTACATTTCATACATACACACTATAGGTAAGAAATATATAATCAATAGAAAAGAACTTTAATTTTTGTCACTATATGAGAACTGATAAAGGAGGTATGCTACTAATTCAATCAATTAGGAGAGTGGTAATTTAAGGTACCATTTAAATGAGGTAGGACCCGCTCTCTTTTTTTTTTCTTCTCCCTATATAAAATAGGGAGGTGTGTGGAACTGAGAGAGAGAGAGAAAACTGGAGGTTATGTAATGCAGTACCATTTCCAAAAATACCTACTCTCCGGGCCATTACATTGTGAAAGCCTGACACTGTTACGCCTGTTTCTTGATTGAAAAAAACCCACACTTTGTAGCGTGTCTGGGAACAATGGACCACCTTTCCAGTAAGCATAGGCTGACGGTTTTTTGTCCTCTTGACTGATTTTTAGGTGTGTTAACCATTAGTTATAGTGCTCTTCAGAGATGTACCAAGTGCTAAGAATAGCATAGGGTTCTGCAAATCCAGGTACCAGGGATTCCTTTGTCCTATATTTAAGCCTACAGACCGCTGAAGTGCAGAGAAGCATGATATATAAGCGTACATGTGGTTAGAACAATTTGCATGACTTTAAGCTTGACCACTGAAGCTTATATTCAGCTCACCCACTGTTAATGCTGGCAATAAAGAACTATTAAATGTTGTGACAGTTGGAATGACTTTTTTTTTTCATTTTTAATTTTTTTAAATTGTTTTCAGATTGTTCTCCTTGTGCTACTTGAGAGAAACTGCAATCCCAAGGCTTAACAGAATCTAAAAATGGTAAGAATTAGTTGCTTTAGCAAAGAATCAGTAATTTTTGTATAAATAGAAACTTCCTTTCCCCATCCTCAAAACTTGTTTATAAATACGACCTTTATAAGACATAATTTTTGAGGCTATGCAGATTTGTCATATAATGACCGATGTACTCAAAAAAACCTCCGTATGTTGGATCTTTGATTTTCTTGCATTTTTTTTGAATAAAAATCTGAAATCCCTCTTTGTGCAGTAAGGCTTATTTAATTGAAACAAGCAGTGTTTAGGTTACTATGGAAAATACACCTCATAACACGTGTAGGAATACATGCAGACAAAACAATGTCCAATAATTTCAGCCCTGCCACCTTCCCCCAAAAAAGAAGATATAGGTCATTGCACTTAGTAAGTAAAGCAGATTTAATGATAGTCTGTCAGGTTAGTACATAAGATGCAAACTAAATTTTCTTAATATTTGGTAATTTTTTCAGAAGGTTAGCCTTTCTCTGTGATACAAATCTGTTCCAGAAAAAATGGCTAGGCCTCAGCCTAACTGAACCTACAGGCACTTAGTTGGACTGTATTTATCGAACAACATTCAACAGTGACCCATTTCCTTCAGTGCTAATTGTGTTTACATTTTTACTGATTAAAGCCTGTTTGTTATACTCTGAGATACAACTGCTGACAAATACCTTATTTTAAGGATGAAACATTATACATCTGAATATTCTTTAAATATGATATTCTCTGAGAACGGTGTGTGTCAGGATGAGCAGGACAAAGACGACTGTTTTTTACAGAAAAAGCAGGTAAAGTAGGCAGAATTAGTTTAGATGCTGTGTAACATTCTTGATTTAAGACACAGCTTTCACTGAAGCGTGTCTGAATACATGTATTGAGATAGATGTGATGTATTTTGGGTGCTACGTGATAATATCATGATCAAAGATCTGTTACTTTGTATGGGGCAATAGCTTGTCTGAAGTAGCATTGTGTGGGTGTACATAAGCATAGAATATTTTCCGAAGTGTCGTGTTGTCAAGGACATATTCTTTTTAAGATTAGGTTAAATTAATTGCATTGATTGTATTATCCTTGTCTGGTTCTTTGGGGTTGTTTTGATTTGGGGGAGGAGGGATGATGAAAGGATGTTTTAAATAAGCAAATATGTAATCTGTTATAAAGGCTTTTTTTTTATTTGGCTCCTTGTTTTATATCATTCCTATCTGCAAAAATAAACTTGGAAATCTGGAGTTTTAGTCTATTCTGGAACCTACTTTCATCAAAGTGCTTTGCTCATCTGTATATAAAGGAATAGTTGAGGGTGGGGAATTAAAAGGGAAATGATTCACTTAAACTGTGAATAGAAATAATGTTAAAATACATTTCGTTCACACAACTGTGGAATATTGGATAAGGCAACTATTTTCCTACCAACACCAAGGTGACAATCAGCCCACATTTTGAGATGGTATGCAGGCTGTTATGTGCAATATATGCCATCTACGGAACAAAAGATTATTTTAAGTTCTGTTAGGCATAAAATAGCCACTGATTTTTACCAGCAGATGGTTCTATAAATCTAGCAAGGTTCCTGTAGTAGTCAATGAAATCAGTTTTGTAAAGCCAGCCTCCAGGCCAGAACATAAAATAAAACTTAACTATCCAAATGCAGAAAATAAAATGTAGTTACCCACCTGTCTAATCCTATTGTTTGTTTCGCGGTGTAACACACATAAAAATCTCATTTGGCTATTTTTGTATTTTTTTATTTGTTACAAAAAAGACCTAATTCCACTTTTGTGTGACAGTTGATCAGTTTCAATGTAAGAAAGACTAGGTTTTGCCCCAACTTGCAAGGTTGCTTAAGATGTGATACTTGGCAGAATCTCTTCCACCTTCACCACCCTTTTTTTCCCTTTCTTTCACTTTTGGCACAGTAACACTGAATGTAATTTGAAGTCGGACCACTGACATACATTCCTTGCAGTAGTGGACACACTTGTCTTTGGCATATTTCTTGTAATATGGAATAAACACTTGGAATAAATGTCTCTTTAGCCATTCTAAATTGCAGGAAAAATCTCCTTTACACACTTTCTGCACTGAAATACATGATTGAAAAAGTCCTTACTTTTTTATTTTTATTTTTTAAATATAACAGCATATGCAAAGGCTCTATTCTGCTTTCATTGATCAGTGAAAATTTAGCTGATACATTTCACCAGGCTGTACTAAATCTTAAAAAATGTGGAAAAATGGCCTGCTTATTCATTTGCTAAACTGAAAGTTCATTAATTGTTTAGTTAAGCCTACAGTAAAATTAGGAGTGACTAGGAAAAACTTGCTGAGTGAGAACTAGTGAATTCTTGATTTAACTTACTCTCTTACCTGCTTGATTTCTTCCTCTTCTTACTCCATTAAATGTTTCTTGAATTGCTTACAAGTAAATGCAAACAACTTAGCAGGTTAGTTTTCAGTGCTGCTTCTGCTTTTCCTAGACTCGGAATTATTATTTCCTCATACCTGGTTAATTAATCTTTCTTGGAGCTGTATAATAACATCATCAATAGTTTAAAAAGAAGTACAAAGGCAGAAAAATGTACTTCCTATTCTTCTTATAAATAACTTATGGATGTTCTGAGCCACCTTACACAAGAAGACCTGCCGTTTAAGGATCTGTCCTTACTTGTGTATAATATATTTGCTTAAGTGACCCCCTAAAGGAAGGAAGGACCTTTTATGTTTATTTGCAAAGTATAAAGTCCTGAGGTGATTTTAATTGCTATTTTTATTTGAAATGCTAGAATTTCTGTATACCATGCTGTATGTCATAACATACAAATTTAGATTTTAGTGCTAATTAAGATTTTTAAAAAGCATTCTAACTGGAAAAAAAAAATTGTTTTAAACATTAGTTTGGCCTATGTGATCCAGTCATTGAAATAAACGATCTTGTTAGAAGAGTGAGGGTAAGGAAGTATTAAGTCCACTTTTCTGTGACCTCACAGAAAACTTTTAGGAAAAACAGAAAAGGCTTTTTTTTAATGGTAAATACTTGTTTTCAAAGAAAGAAATCAAACAGGCATCTTAGACACCTGATAAAGTGATCTGTTTATTTGCTTCTAAAGCACTCAGGTGTGTGCTTTTCCTCTGCTCACATGGCAGTTCATTTCTGGACTTCAGTTCTGAGAGTTTGCAGTAAAGGCACTAAAGAATTTAAATTAATAACACTAATAACAGTGTATATCTGTAAACAGATACCTTGTTAATAATTTAATTTTGACCTACCTGAAAATAAACAAAATACATTCTAGAGCAGCTCATTAATTTACTTCTGACTTACCACAGTTAAATGGCTTTCTTCTTAAGCACTGATTGTGTGGAATCTCTAGGCTAGGTGTTGTACAAGTATAGCTGTGTCATCCCAAAGCAAAAAGGCCCTGGAGGGGTGGCATTTGGGCTGAACACTTCCTGTAGCATATCCTTGCCTGAACTTGATCAGTTTTGAGGTTGTTCTATCGTTTGCATTCTCTGCATTTGATAGTCTTACTTGGGGAAAAAAAGAGAAAAATGGCATGATGGCTTTTTGGAGAAAAAAAGCAGTTGAGGGAATAGCTTTTCTTCATTAAGTCAGAGAGAAAGAAATGGCAATCTGCATTCGGTTGAAGAGAAAAAGAGTCTCCATCCCATTTCAGGTTTTTTTTTTTTCAATTCATAGGGAAATGTGTAACGTCATTTGAGTTAGGTGAAGAAATTTATGAGGCAAAGTTTATATTTAAGATTCCATCCCAGTTTAGCCATTACCAACCTTTTTCCAGTGAGTTATATGAAGATATCTTTACACGTTCTGTAATTTTATGTCTATAAAATGACTTCACCTTAGTTGGAACAACTGTTCATAGCTTTAGGATTACCTGTGGAGAACGGAGCCTGGGATTAGTCTGGCAGAGGCAGGCATTATTTTGAACCTTTTATATGCTCTGAGGAATAAGGACGAGACACTAGGATAAGACATTGTGTCCAGCCTAATACTAAGATACCAGTGGTCCGGTGGGAGAAAACTCATACTTCCTTGTTGACTGGTACCAAGTCTGGAATCTCCTTTATGGTAGTTCAGAACTGCACAGGAGCTGTAGGACTATATCAGATCCTCTTCTGTCCGTGTGTAGCCATGGGCAGAATTTGTTCAAGAGAAATGATAGAGAGGGATGAAAGCTGAGCACTTTTGACCATCCGAATGTGTATATTGTGCTTTTTTATTACGCTTATGTATTGGTGCATGAAGAATACATTGAGTGCAGTTTGCTCAGTGCTACTTCATTACTGAAAACTTAGGGAGAATTAAAGCCTTTCCAGCTTACACAGTAAATAAGCAGCAATACAAACTTACTTTTTGTGATACTTTTGCCAAGTCAGCTGTTCAGCTGTGCAGGAAAAACACCTTTACTTGATTATGGCTAGACAAATTTGAAGTAGAATTTTAAGAAAAATAATTTTTGTCCAAAGCTATGGATACTGTGGGTATTTCTGTGGTACTGTTCATATGCACAATAAAAGACAAGAGATCTGTATATATGTGTTTCTACCTAGTCACAAACATACATACTCTGGGTCCTAAAATTTTGTAACTACGCACTGGCATACTTTATCTGAACAGAGTTGCATTGACACATGGAATTGGAGGTTTGCATAATACGTTGTTAGGACAAATCTTTACAGAACTTTTTTCACAAAGGCTGAAATCTTGGAAAATCAGAAATAAGAATTAACATATGTCTTGTAATACTGCAGTCAGATGTTGAATTTTAAGTCTTGGGATCTAAAACCTTCACCAACATTCTTTTCTGTCATTTTGCTTTGGAAAACTGGTGCCCCACACCTGAACTCTTATCGTTGTGTGTATGGCTAAAGAGAAGGGAGAGGGACTACACTTAATAGCCTTAGAACAACTTAATTAAAGTAATTCAGTTAGTATCATTGACTGGGACAGGATAGTTTAATAAAAATATTTTTAAATA